CATGAATGAGAGTCAGTGTTTGTTTAATGCTAATTATGATACATTATTTACCTCAAAATACACAATTCTCTAATTAAAATATTGTGGAAAACATTTATGCAGAAAGTAGGCCTTTAGCAGCCACAGATTAAAGCTCATGTTTTGATTTGACTAGCCAGCTTCCTGCCTGTAGTGGCTTAAATTGGCACTTTGCCTCCAAGCGTTTTGTTGATTTTTTTTTTTTTCTTTATCTCCTGCAGAAGATAAGATCTGTGAAAAATTTTGACAGGGAAAGCTGGGTTGTCTATCCAGGCCCACTTTTCTTGTCCCAAGGTTAACTATTCCTGTAACAATTCTGGTATTTCACTATTTGAAGATGGTGCAAGAGTGTCTTAGTCACTGAAATAGAAAGAATGAAAGATTTCTGGGGCCCCAAACACAAGAAGGATGTTGATCTGTTAGAGCAGGTCCAGAGAAGGGCTACTAAGATGATCAGAGGGCTGAAACGCTTCTCTAAAGAAAGGCTGAGAGAGCTGGGGATGTTCAACCTGGAGAAGAAAAGGCTCCAGAGTGACTATATTGCAGCTCTTCAGTACTTAAAGAGGTCTTATAAAAAGGATGGAGAACTATTTTTTGCTCAGACAGACAGTGATAGGACAAGGCGGAATCTCTTATAAACTGAAAGGTGAGATTTAGATTAGATGTTATGAGTGAATTCTTCACTCTGAGGGTGGTGATGCACTGGAACAGATTCCCCTGAGAAGCTATGGAGGACCCATCCCTGGAGGTGTTCAAGGCTAGACTCGATGATTTGGATGTCAACCTGATCTAGTGGGTGGCATCCCTGCCCAGGGCAAGGAGGTTGGAACTAAATTATCTTTAAGGCCCCTTTCAACCCAAGACATTTCATGATTTTACAGTTAAAAAGTCAAGCAGCATGTCAAAACACACCAGCACATCTGCACAACTCATTGTCAGATGAGGGACATGTTACCAAAAGAATAAGGAAAAAAAATGTATACTGTTTATAATTTTGTTCTTAACTGTATGATTTGAACATGCATTCGGGCAGATCTTACCAGATAAAATGAAAAAGTGAACTCATACATTCAGCATGGTCCTGATGTATCTTTCTTTTTCCTAACAATTTGGTACATAAGGCATTCCATTAAGTTTTCATTATGAGAAAAGGAATAAACTGAGAGAATGAAAAAAGAGATTCTGTTCCTCAGAAAAAGAGAAATACATAAATTGTAATGAGAATGGGTGGGGGTCATAATACTGCACAACATTTGGAAAAGAGTTAGGAGTAACAGAGTGAGGAAAGAGGGATGCAAGATGGTGTTACTGTGTGTGAAGTATTATCTTGTGCATGCTTGTCACTAGGGGAAGTGGAGGGCTGACTCAGCCCCTCTTAATATCCCATGGGAGGAGAAAGGCACACAGCATGCTTTTCTCACAGGTGCAGTGCCAGAACCAAAATGTAACCCAGAAGAGTGGTGATCAAGGGGTGTGAAAATAAAGGAGAGTGAAGATTGTCCAGCATTACATCAACTTTCAAACCCCTATGGTGAACAGTTGCATCAAAATTCAGATCCACAGAAATAACCTACCTCAGGCTCCTACTTGCTTGCTTATGTGAAGGCTTGTTTCTTAAGAAAAGCACTTCAAACTTTGATGACCACTGAGAGTGGCAGGAGTTGATGAGGTCCGCCTCTGCAAATCTCTTTCATCGCCTTTGGTAATTACAGATAAAGGCAACTTTGGCATGGGGTTGCTGTTCTTACTGGCATGGATTATTGAAAATCTTCTAGCTCTAGCTGAGCACAAACACACATCTACTTTAAACCTTTGAGGGGGGGGACTTGAACTAAGTCCCTCTACAAACTGGAGCCTGGAGAAATAAATACCACGGTTTGGGGTTGTTTACATTAAACTGAGTGAATATTTTAACATATTAAAAGTTGTTAACCTCTTTCATAAACTTTACTGTAAACAAGTGACTAGGTTTGAAGAATGAAACATGATTCCTAATAGCTTGCTTTTCTTGCGTATTCACGTGATAATAATTGCCTGTCAAGCTAAACCCCCATCCACCATTTTCCTCAGCATAATCTCCCACAGTGTATGCCTGATGACCGAGAAGACTGCAGAAGTACCCCTTATTGCTCACACTCTATGTGCCCTCTAGGACTAATTTGCCATCTGTGGTGACTTCTGGCTTTTCTGGGTGGCTCTTGCTGATGATAGTTTTTCTATTTAACCCACAAAGGTCAGAGAATGGTGATAACTGTGTCTTATAAAGTGGTCTCAGAAATCTGCTGAGGTCCTTCCTTGGAGGTGAAATGCTGCACACTAAGACATAGGATCTATACCATTAATTCAAACCCTGCCTAGAGGAAAATGCCTGCCCTGGCCTAGTGTTGTGCAAGGAGCTGTGTATTTGTCTCCAGAAGAATTAAATTCTCAAGATGGTTTCAGCTTCCCCATTTTAAGCATAGGTCCAGAAGCAGAATTTACATTATTATTTATTTCTTTTTAGTCATCTATTTCCAACAAATCCTGTAATTTTGAATCCAAAAAGGAGGCACTTCAGTTTAAGAGAGTCTGGAATACTGTTTTGAAGCCAAGTACATCTGAAACACAAAGTACTCTACAAACCTACTATGAAATTGTATCAGCTTAGTATGAAAGAATCTTTTGGTTGGTAGGTGATAACTGGGAAAGTAATGAGTTTAAACAACAAAAATCAAAAGTTTGATCCTGGCAAGGAGACAAAGGGAGTTTTGCAAGAGTGGTTCCTAGTGTTCATAAATCATCAATCCAACACTAGCTGCATCCAGAATTGAACTTTTGTTCTGAACAAGCCTGGTCAATAGCCAAAGGAGGGAAATTGGAAGAAAAATCTGAGTTGTTATGTGGCATATGTTTAAATAAATGTACCTATTCTTTTCCATAGTGCAAAGAATAAATGTGTTTGTTTTGTGTTTTATTATTATTATATTTTTAATTTTGAAACAGACGAGATGAAGAAAGTGTGAAAAAAAGAAATTGTGAGGCAGCTGACAGAAAGGAAGCTTAAATTTCTATGGTAGCTCAATATTTTTGAGGCTAATAAATTATGGTAATTGAAATTTCAATAGCAGTAGATCTACGTAAAGCAAAGATATATTTGGTGGGTTTTATGGCATTTATAAGAGAGAGATGGGGCATGTATCAAGTCTGCTGGATAAGCTTTTCAGTGTGGTAAGCAAGGACTGCATTAAGACTGCCTGCATGTTATATAATATACTTTCTCCTTTGCTCTCTGTAGGTGTAAATCAAGACAATCTCTAGTAAATGTCTAGTGTAAATAGAGGTCTAGCCTGCACAACAGCGTATCATCAAGCTACCTATGTTGCTCAGGACTGAAAGGCATACTGATTGGAGTTGCTCTTTTTTTTTTTTTTTTTTTAAATCCTGGTATGCTTTACTAGTTCATAGCCTATTATTGAATATGATGTCTACTATTGTATTGCTAAAACTGTTATATCTAGTGCTGGATGCCCTGTGCACAATTTTGACTTCTATGCATGCATGCAATGCTAAAATTATATGTGAATTAATTATATAACATTGCAAAAACATTAAAGTTGTGGTATCTCTATTATGCTTTCAATTTATATGTCAAATGTTACAGTGGAGATTATATTATCTTTCTTCTTACACTTCTTACATTTTTCTTCTGAAAAAGTGATTGACTTAATTTTCTTGTTTTCTTGTTTATGTTCTTGTATCTTCTCTTGCAATCACACCATTTTGGTATGTTCACAAAACTGATTTTTGTCCTGATTTTGTGCTCAGGAAGGTGTAAATAACTACTGGAGGAATTTCACAATTAAGTCTCACCTGCTTTTCATGTGTTTAGGAGGAAGGATGGTTTCAATAACTTAAAGGAAAACTATTGAGTTTATTCTAGAGTTAACTCAGTATGGAAAAAGTTTTTCAGTCTTAAAAAGAAGAAGAAAAAAAAGAACCCACACAAATGCATGCAGATGCTGTCCTTTCTCTTGGATAGCTCAAAATGGTTTGGATTTAAAACTTCAGTCTTGGCAGGCATTGAGTCCTCAAGGAATGTGTGCTTGTTAAATCCTGACCAAAAAAAAAAAAAAAAAAAGTTGTGAAATTAAGAAATTAAAAATGTTAGGAATTCTATTCTGCTGAAGGATAATCTTTAAAGCCAAATCCTGCACTCTGATTTATACCGAGGACCTTCTCGGAGTATTCTGTCTGAACTAATGAAACATACAAAACCAAAGGTCAAATACTCAGAGCACATACTGCTGAGGACTGAAAAGATACCTGGATGCTGACCTTTCCTTCAGGAGCCCTGTTAGCATCCAAGCTGGTATAGGTCTGTGTGCATAGGGAGGGGAGGAGAGCCATGGAGACCACACGTGGGGGCACTGGCACTCCTCGACCTCTGCCAGGCCCAGCTGCTCTTTGGTTGCCACTCCACAGGAGGGCATGGAGGATTGGGGGTGGAATTTTATGCTCACCTCCTCCCTCTGAACCAAGCTGGAAGAAGCCCTATGGACACAGGGCTGCCAGCCAGCTGCTGCAGGCCGCTGCTGGAGGGTTTCCACCTGCCAGTGCACAGGCTGCTCCCCAGCAGGCCCAGTCTGGCTGCCCCAGCTGTGTCCTAGCCCCGGGCCTGGCTGAGGCAGGCACAGAGATGATGTTATGAATGTGCTTTGGATGCTGCCTGCCAGCTACATTCTGTCCACTGGCTTCCAGCCTCATTTATAAACTGATATCACCTTCTAGAAAATCATTGTTTAAGTAGGAACCTGAAAAGTTGTAAAATTCATTCCTCAACATCCGCTTAGGTACATAGAGGCCTTTACTTTGGGAAGGAGTTGGTGGGGGGCTTGGTGGTTTGAGATTCTCATTGGAAAAATGCTGGTGCATAAACATTGTGTTCTTGCTTGTTGTATTCAGCCATTAATATTTTTGGGTTTGTTTTTAATTTTTGGACGCAGGACCTGTGAAGGGCGAAACATCCGATACAGGACGTGCAGCAATGTGGTAAGTGAAGTATAGCTTTGATATAACACAAATCATCACATATGACAGTCATGCCTATATAAGATAAAATAATTTGCTTGTGTGATAATGGGAACACTATAGCTGTTTCAACTGCCTTCATATCACAGGACCTCTGGCAAATCATTATTGATTTCTTGAGAGAATGGAGCGATGATGGCACTGCATGGCGTTAAAACTGGATGGCATTTCAGTCACAACCTTTCTACGTAATCTGTCAATGAAATTTCAGAGCTGCTCTTTATAACCTCACAGCAGATTCAAAGACTACTCATGTTACTTTGGTAGCTCTCTGGTTCACATTGGTCCGTCTGTCAGGCTGGAGGATTAAATGTTAAGGATTGAAGACAAGTTAGTAAGAGATATGTGTTGCTATTCACTTGTGCTCTCCCCTCTCCCAGCACTGTAATTTTGTTGTATGTCTTAGAAAAAGCAGTTTTAGATAGCCTGCACTAGTGCTGCAGACTTTCCAAATGCTTTTGCTGTTTGTTTTTTGTTTGTTTGTTTGTTTTCCTACAGTGAATGTAGATTTCACTGGAATAAAATAAGAAACTTCAGCTTCTGTACTCACCAAAGTGAAAGTGTGTTTTCACTGATGAAAATGGAAATAAAGACTTTCATATGGAAAGTCTTATTGGGTGCCAAGAATTGTGAAAGCTCTCAAATTACATGGAGCAATGTCAGTTTTACCAGTAAATGGAAAATGAAATCAAACATGCTCTGGGCCAAGCTTTCTCATGCCTGATAGGGACATATTCAGAAGCCTTTCAATAGGTGCTTTGTCTGAAAAAAAGTTAAAAAGTTTAAGTTTAAAAAAATATACACATATATGTTCCCTCATATTTGGCTTATATTCTCTTCAGTAGACCACAATGAAAAAAATCGCTTGCCTCAGACTGAGTTACAGTCTCCCATGCAGTGAATTTCTCACACTTCTGCCTCTGAAATCAGTTCTGGTTGTATGCTTTGGGTCACTGAAATCACCCATCAATCTAGACATCTGCTTCACTAACAACAACTGGAACAGTCAATAAATAGGTCTGCTGACTGATTAACAGTCTGATTTCCAGCTGTGAGGCACTTAGGCTACACTATGACCTTGGAAGGAATGGGAAGGTTAATTTGTGTCACTTAAGCTGCATGGTTGCATGCTATAGCCCTCTGTAATATGATAAAGAAAGGGAGGAGGATGTGTGTGTGTGTGTGTGTGGGGGGGGGGGGGGGGGGGAAGGAGTAGCGAGATAATGTTGAAAGCTAATTGGGCTAAAATTAGACCCATCAGCTTTGTTTCTGTTTTTGCATTGCTGTGTATTGTGACAGTCTGCTTCCCCTCCTGCCGAGCAGTCTCATGCAGTGAAAGGTACCAGCATACCACTCCGCTGCCATTAGTTGTTCCTGGATCATCCTGATAAGACCCTGGCATTTTTCCTCTGTTGCAACCTTTGTTCTGTAACCACTGAGCTTAACTTTGCAAGACAAAGAACTTTTCTTTTTTTTTTCTCTCTTTTTTTTTTTTTTAATGTTATTTTTAGCTTAGGTTTTAATGTTATTTTTAGCTTTAGGTTCTGTTTTGCAACTGTGGACCTGGACAGTTTTCCTCCAAAATAAATCCTTGCACAGTTTTGTCAGGCAATTCCTTAACATACCTTGTATTTGACAATACAGGCTCCAGACTTCTCAACATAGCACTGAGGCATCCAGCTTCAGAACTCACTCAATTTTTAACACCAAGTAATCCAAACTGAAGCCCTGAAAGCGCTTTACTATGTTAAAGTCAGTGAGAGTTTTGCCATTGAGTGATGAAGACCCAGGATTACATGTGTAATTTTAACCCTTTTTATTGGAGGGAGCAAAAAATGCATTGTGCTGCCATGATCTCTTTTCCTTAACACAAAGATCAAATAAGCTTTCATTTGTTTCTTATTAGTAAACTTGCAAAACTAGCAATAAATCAAACAATCCTAAAGCTACTGACTACATCAGACTTTGACAAGGCCTTTCAAATATGGCTTTGTGTAAAAAGGAAGGTATTTGGCTATATTTGCTTTGCAGATATCTGATCTCAGTGGAAAACATTTTCTATTTATTTTTATAGTACACTAAGTCTTTGATTCAGATGTTATGGCATTCCATTCACCATCTTTATTAATCTGAGATAGTGTGCACCACTATTCCTATTATCTGTCACTGTAATCGCACTGCCATCATGATTATCAACAGAATATGGGGTAGGATCCTGCCACAGCAGGGGTGTTTCTGGGGCTGGGTGCCACTTTGAAATACCTTGTGCAGCACCAGTAGAAACCGAAACCATTACTGAACGGTGTACTCTTTCAGAGTAATGCAAACAATCATAAACTTTCTTTTTAATGGCATTTTTGTCTCCAAAATCACAGGATACACACACACACACAATTAGGTTGTGGAAATATTTAATTAACCCCATGGCTCATCACAGAATTCTGCTCTGAAAAATACACACTGTAGTGTGCATATTTTTGTTTACTCAGAATTTCCCTTTTAAGATTTCATCCACAAAGACACTGAAAATCAGGAGGAGGGAACTGCCAGACTCAGTGTCTTGGCTGACAGCCTGTTGTGTTCAAGGAAAATGAGAGTAAACTCCTACCACTCCAAATGAAGCTCGCTATCATGTGTTGTGGAAAAATTCCTTTTTGATTTCTGTGGAAATCAGAGAGTCCTGAAATACAAACTTTCATTGCCATTAGCTGGTGTATAGCTTGAGCACTGTAGTTATTGTTCATAAGAGAATTGGTCTTTTTATTTTCTACAAAACATCTTTTTGTGAATTGATATGCTTTTGTTTATATGACTGTCCTCTTACAGGAAAGGATGGGTAGTCACATATACTAAAGGCAAAATATTTCAGAGATGAAACTGGAGAATGGGAAGAATATGTCTTGGAAACTGGCAATGAACACATTTTTGTAGGTACTATCATTAGCAAGATTTTGCTACAGCTGGTTTTAATTCATCATGAAATTAAATAGTGTTAAAAGAATAGAATGAGATAGAGAAAAGAAAGGCAAGGGGAGAGAATGGCATATCTATTTCTTCATTGGCCTGGGGATGCTGAACCTTTTTGAATAACACTGACTGTAAGAGAGACTGATACTGCTGTTTATAAAGCTTCTGAGCAGTCCTTACAAGAATTAATCCAATCCAATATGTTCACCACTTGCATTGCCTGGTGTTGATCAGAAAGTAGAAGAGTTATGGATATGAAGCCACATGTGTAAATAGTCAAAGAAAGAATGAGGGAATCTGAAGATGATTTAGGGTTGAATTGCATCAGTCTTTTTTCTTCTTGCTATTCATATTGACTCCAAGTATGTTTCCAGCCATTTTAGAATGTAATCATGGGGGGAGGGAAGTAGTCATTTGTTTTTCTTCAGAAAATTACTCCAAATGCAATGAAAGCATGCTTTGTATCTGTCTGTGTTGCTGTATTAAATCTTATGCAAAATAAACAAAAATATTTCCAAACTGTGAGTAGGATTTTTTGACTAGGTTTTTCTTCAAGCTAGCATGCTCCCTGTTCCTTCTTCTAGGCATGTTCTCAGTTGCCAAGTTCTCTCCAACTTCTGTACCAGGCTATCATGCTACCTCATTTGCCCTTTCTCACTCCTACTGCCACTGCACTATTTTGATTGTTTTTTTTTTTAGCTCCTTTTACATGAAAAATCTTTCTGAAGAAGGTTTGCTGAACTGTGTAACATCTTCCTCCCCTTTCTCTGCAATTATCAGCCCATTCTTCTGTGTTGTTTTTTTTTTTTTTTTTTTTCCAATTTCCTCTTATTTCACTGCTGCCTATATAAAATCAGGAGAAACTTGAGGTGCATGAGACTGACACTTGATTCCTGTAGGAATCTGCTTTTCTTATTTACTTATACCTGCCAACAGGATGATAAAAACTACAAATAAAGCTGCTTTTGAGATTTTGCTGTTTGACATGAAAACAGACAATGCCGCAAGTTGCACAAGAGTACTAGCTCTTTCTACACAGAAAGAGCTTCTGTTAAGAGGTTCCATTAAGTCTAAGATAGAATCTGTGGATGGTAGATCCCATTAATCAGATCATCAAAACTTGCAAATAACACCTTCAACTCTTTTTTTTTTTTTCTTTTTTTTTTTTTTTCACTTACATACTTCACTCATATAAAATACCAACTCTGGTGGCATCCCCCATTTTCTGGCTTGCATTCAGACAAGCTACTTCCATGACTGTTTCTTATTATCTCATGCTGCTTTTTGTACACACCAGTACCTATATTGTCCATATCACTTTTTGCAGAAGAAACTACATTCTTGCCACGTACCAAAGCCTAACCTGTTGGAAACCATTACGCCTAAACTTCCAAATAAGTGCATAGTTGCTTCTAGAAGCATTGACTTGTGAGTATGAAAAGCACCATTACAAGGCAGATTTTTTTCAGATATACACAAATGGTTAGCAGAATTTAATTTTTCTACCCTCTAATGGGTAGATATACTGTATGAAGTAATCTTCAGTGTAAAAGACTTTTCTTTCTTATTCCGGGGGGGTGGGAGGGAAGGTGGGCGGGCGGGAAGGGGGAAGCAACTAGAAGCACTACATATATCTCCTTATTAACACCAGATTTGCCTAATGACAGTTTGCTTTTTCAGTAGAAATTCTTTCAAACTCATGTCATTTATTGTGACTACAATCTGTTCTTCAAAATGTTGGATTTTAATGGCCGCTATCCTATTTTTGAGTGGGTGCTCTTTTAAACCTCTGTGTTATTGTGTGTTGTCTAGCAAGTATTTCTCTGTATTGCAAAAAAAAAGAAGTTGTTAGTGATGTCAGCTTTGACTTCTCAGTATATCTTCTTAGCAAATAGACCCGTGAGTCCATGACTTCTAAAAAACAGAACAACAATAACAACAACAACAAAATCACTGCTATCAAGAACATCAAGAGTCTTTGTAAGCCAGGATCA